AGGAGGGGCCTGACTTGTCCCTGAGGGACAAGGCTGCCCGCTGAAGGCGGCTCAGGCCGGTCGTGTTGGTTAAACCGCGTTTGGGAGAGTTGTGCCCTTCGCTGAGAGGGAGAGAGATGGTGGGCATTAAATAGTCGAGGGCGGGTTTATAGTTCAATTAGTAATAACTTACCTTGCAGCCAGAGGCCTTCATTTTTGAAAGAAAACCCTCAGAGCCGGTAACCTTCCAGTGTTACCGCCACATACACTGGAAGCGCACAGCAGTGGGTGTGTGGCGTGTGTAGAGGCGTTCTCCATCCATTTAAAGGTTACTTGGAGGGGGTGCTGTTGAATATTAATACTCATGCCAAGCATTTCGGAGTGTAAAAAAAGTGTTGATCTAATTAGAGAAGCTAGATTTACGTATGGTAGTGTGTTCTTTTACTGTATTAAGTACTACCTCTCCTCTTTAGCAATGGGCTACTTTTGCCAGAGCCTGGTACCTCCTCGATGCGAAGATGCAGCCACCAGGAAAAATAGCAGCTGCGACTGTAATCAGACTTGAAGGCAGGCATAAACCTATTTATCATGCACTAAGTGAGTATGGCGGTAGATAAAAGCAAATTTGCTTTACTTCACTTGTATTTTTCTTCTGATTTCAGTTTTAAAAATGAGCCTGATGTAGAAGGTTACATTTTTCAATTGTTTGTAAATTAAAAGTGTCTTCTCGTCTTTTTCCTTCATACCCCTATACAACCTTGTGTTGTTGCCTCTACCAGTCCATATAAAGCCATTATGAATTCATAACTTATTAGTAGGACCTGAATTACAGTGGGTTGTGCTTTCATTTTTTTTAAAACCTTGAAATGTATTTTGTTGCATTGATTTTAGATGTAAAGATTTAATTCACAGTGCGTGTAGGTGAAACACTGATCTGATTCTTCATTAGATTTTCTGAATGCCACCTTTCAGTAGCTGCACAGCACCACAGAGTCTTGGAGTTGTTCTTCATTCTGTAGGAGGTGCCAAGAAGTCCTGTCTTCATGAGGCAACAGGCACCAGCTGCAACACAGGAGGTTCCCTCTGAACATCAGGAAATATTTTTTTACTGTGAGGGTGCCTGGAAGCAGTTGCCCAAGAGGTTGTGGAGTCTCCATCCTTGGTGATATTCTAAAAGTTGGTCTTGCTTGAGCAGGGGGGTTGGATGACGTGACCTCCAGAGGTCCCTTCCAACCTCAGACATTCTGTAATGACGAGGCTGGAACCTGTCTGATTCTTAAATGGGAGATGTCATCACTGTTGAAAGTTTTCTTGTTTAAATGGAAAAATAATTTTGCTTTTCTGCAAATTAGAAGATGCAGCAGTAAAAAGGTGTATCTGTGATTTTGTTCACTACTTGTAATACTGTAGTGCCTGTCTCGCAGTGATGAGCATTTTATAGATAATACAGAGGTGATCCATCATATTGATGGTACAGTGTTTCCTGTAATACTCATGCAAATTTTTTAAGAGACATTACTGAAACATAAAGGAAGCATTAAACTTTGCTCACATATGTAGAGTGTACATGCTAAAATTATACTTGATCTGTTTTTCGTAATGGAAGGTGGTATTTGTACTGTTCTAAAGATGTTTTAAAATACCAGAGTTCTACTGTTGCAAATTATGTCTTATCCACAAGATGTCACTGGAGACTAAGGCTGTCTGAAAAATAAAGCAGACACTGAGAGGAAATGTTTTTGGTTGTCTTGTCGGAAAGATCTTTGATACTTTTATGTCCATGAAAAGTCATTTCAAGGATAACTTTATTTGGTCTAAAGTATTCTATAAATCGGTACCAAATGCATTACACCCAAGATTGACATTGATAGATAGGTTACTACTACTGAGAGACATTTGATAGTCTCTCAGAGAACAAAGTATGCATGAATTTGTGGTTGGTGTACTTAACACTTGTTTTTTTTTTCTTTTTTCTTTTTTTTTTTTTTTTTTTGCCTGAACTAACAAGAAATATTTTGGTGTCTGTGAGATAACAGTTCCTCAGACAGAATAACATCATGGGGATTTTTTGTTTTGTTTTGTTTTTCATTTGGTATCCAGATACCCTTGTAATGTAAAATCATTATTTATTTATTGTGTTGAAAAGTATTTGGAGCTGAATTTAAGCTGTGGTTAGGGAAGGAAAGAAATCTGATTTCATGTATATTTATTTTCTGTTTTAGGGATTTCATTATTCTCCAGAGTCTCATATTTTTAGATGCTGTCAGATCACACACCTTAAATAAGGGCATACAGCCCTGTTCAGGAGGTTTGAATCGGATGTTGAGGTTTCTTCTGCACCTCCCCTTCTCTCTACCCTCATCCCCTTGCATCCTATCTTTGTAAGCAGCTTCACAATACAGAACCAAAAATAGCAGGCCAGATTTTTTAAAAAATAGGCAGTCTGGTTCTTTATGCTGGATTGTGAGCAGGTGTAGGTGAGCCACTTTTGTTGCTTGGGTAGGATTTGCTGCTGTTGCCTGCATCTTCAAAGGAGAAGGCTAGGCTAGATGGAGGTGTCCCGCAAACCTGATCTGGCCCAGGTGTTACTCTAGATTGCAATGTTAGTTTATAATAGCTAGAAGAAGCCTTGAAGACTTCTAATGAAAGATTTGGCAAGTAGCTCATCAGTCTTGTGAGCTAACAGTTGACGATATGTACCTTTAATTACCATTTAGTCCCTAATTGAAATGTAGGAGGAAAACTGCATGTACCTGAACCATGTGTTTTTACTGTATGGTAGGAATTACTGACGTTGTAAATGTACAGAGATTGAAAAATTGATATACTGTGGCAGGTTACTTTTATCTGAAGAGGTGCAATGTATATGCAGTGTGTAACAAATTGCATATACCATAATGTAATAGAATATACTGGCCTTATTTTTGTGTATTTCTTGAGGAAAACATATTTACATACTTCATAAAAGAACAATTCCATATTATAGCATGAAAACTGTTGACACACCTGAGGGACCTGGACAAGCTCGAGCAGTGGGCCCATGTGAACCTCATGAGGTTCAACAAGGCCAAGTGCAAGGTCCTGCACCTGGGACGGGGCAATCCCCCCATATCAATACAGGCTGGGGCATGAAGGGATTGAGAGCAGCCCTGCCGAGAAGGATACTTGAGGGTACGGGTGGAGGAAAAGCGGGACATGAGCCGTCAATGTGCGCTTGCAGCCCAGAAAGCCAACCGCATTCTGGGCTTCATCGAAAGCAGCGTGGCCAGCAGGTCGAGGGAGGTGATTCTGCCCCTCTGCTCTGCTCTGGTGAGACCTCACCTGGAGCACTGTGTCCAGCTCTGGGGCCCTCAGCACAGGAGTGGACCTGCTGGAGCGGGTCCAGAGGAGGGCCACAAAAATGATCCAAGTGCTGGAGCACTTCTCTTACGAGGCCGAGCTGAGAGAGTTGGGGTTGTTCAGCCTGGAGAAGAGAAGGCTCCAGGGAGACCTTATTGTGACCTTCCAGTGCTTAAAGGGGGCTTGTAAGAAAGATGGGAACAAACTTTTTAGCAGGGCCTGTGGCAATAGGACAAGGGGTAATGGTTTTAAACTAAAAGAGGAGAGATTTAGACTGGATATAAGGAAGAAATTTTTTACAGTGAGGGTGGTGAAGCACTGGACCAGGTTGCCCAGAGAGGTGGTAGATGCCCCATCCCTGGCAACATTCAAGGTCAGGTTGGCCAGGGCTCTGAGCAACCTGGTCTAGTTGAAGATGTCCCTGCTCACTGCAGATGACCTTTAAACGTCCCTTCCAACCCAAACCATTCTATGATCCTTTGAAAACAGCCTAAAGGAAGAGTTTTCTTGTGTGATAATTTGTGAATATTTTTCAAAAGTAGGATACAATTTGGCTGTGTTTCGGGAGATGGTAAATGTTTTTGCTTTCTTCCTATTAAGTGCAGCTGTTCCTGAGCTAATGGGAACAACACTGTTTAAAGACCAGTGGAAAATAATTTATTAATTTGAAATGTTGAAGGAGACATTAGCTATCCATAAATTCAGTCTACTTTAAACAGAACAGGTTGCAGTCATTATTCAGGTAGCATGCAAGTATCCTGGTTAGTTTTAATCCTGGCTCTTAATTGTTCGTAATTGATCTATTGGTGTATGGAATTGTTAATTCAGTGTTTATGCAAGTGGAGAACTGTTGCCAAAAATTACCTTAGACAAGCTTATTCTGTCATCTTCTCAACCAAAAAAAAGAAAAAAGGCTCAAAGTCCAATGTCAGTTCCCTGACATTTGTTTAGACATACAGTGTTTTTAGAACTGATCTGTCAGTGGTGAAAGGTTGCATCAATGAAAATGTTGAAATTGCATTTGCACTTTAGCTGTAGTTGAAAGTGGAGCTTTAAAAGAACACAAGATTAAAAAGTGGTAGAAAAACTTAAATAGGGTGTGAAACTTGCATTGATTAATTATATGCTCCTATAAAAAAATGCATGCTCAGTTTTAAGTTCTTCGTAGTGTAGCTGCTTTGTTACCTACTCAAAAATGTTTTAATCAAATGAGTCTCTTCAAATACTTACGTTGTTCTAATATGGTAATGCATATGAGAGTGAGCTTTGGACAAGTCGTTTTCCAATTGATTTGAATGGGTGGTTATAGCTTATACAGCTGATCAAGATGATTACTTCTGAAATGGAAAACTACATCTTTTTTCATATTTTCGTCACATTTTTGAGACAGTATAGGTTTTATTAGCACTTTACTAGCAAAGAAGATCTATTAAAGGAATTGTTTCTGGCATGGTATTGGTGATACATCATAGACTTTGCACTTAAAACCTTTGGTGTGAAAGTTGCTGATATAACACTAAACATAATCTGTATGTACTGTAACATTCACTTCTGCCTGATTGATGACAATGTGGTTTTCCTCCCAAGAGAGCTGTGTTAGGCTTTTTTGTGGGGCTTCCCCCCCTATCTTTTTGTTTCTTTTATATATTTAGCCCTAGGCTGTAATTATTTAATAGAATTATTTTACTTATCCAGAGTATTCAGTCCTCCAGTAAACATTGGTACTGTTTTTATGAGAAAAATAAAATTAAATCAATATTTATGATTGTTTTTTAGAACTAACATTTTTTATTCTGGATTTTTTGAAATATAGGTGCATATGCAGCATAAGGTGTTGAATAAAATAATACACTTGCCTGTAAGCCAGATTTCCAGATCTTAGCTGAATAATTGCAATGGTTTAATTATCTAGTCTTCTGGTATTTTATCTGCTCACCTGCCTTCTAACCTGACAGTAGTAACAAAAATAGTAATTAAGGTTGGTATTTAAGTGTAGATTTGGATGGTGTGACTCAAAAAGCTCAGATCTTTAAATTTGAGCTTTATGAAGTGTATATTAATGTGCTGCCAGGTCTGTATCGCACATTTTATAGTTGTTATTTTGTTTGATTATCTGTGTGGTTCTCTTAATATTTTCCATGAATGTTTACCTTGTAGATGACTGCGGAGATCATGTTGTCATAATAAATACAAGACATATTGCCTTCTCTGGTAACAAATGGGAACAGAAAGTATATTCTTCACATACTGGGTAAGCTTTATAATAATTATTCAAATGAGCTAGTGGTAAATTTAATGTGTTTTCTTAATAGTTGAAGTCTTTCTTAGCATATTGGTTTAAAAGGGAATTCCTACTTACATGTTTTTGTTTGCATGTGTTACAATGTTTAAAATGATGCAAACCTTTATCATATTCTTTTTCTTTTTCTTTTTTTTTTTTTTTCCCCTCCCTGGTGTATGTTGTTAAGTAAATAACTCAAAAGTAGACAGAGCAATTGAGTAAATTAACAGATTTGGTGAGCCAGGTTGTTTTGTGTGAACCCATGAACCCAGTGATTGGGACTATTCTGTTTACTACGCAGTAAAAGACATTCCTATTGGCACTGCACATTTAAGATATATACAGTTGCCAGCTTCAATTACTTTATCCTACCAGTACCTATTTACCTAACAGAAAATATCAAGATTGTTATATTATTGAATCAGAGGATGGGAAAAAAAAAAAATTGGAAAAACTAGTAAGAAATGAAATGCTCTCAAGATGTACTGATGTATACAGTAGGGTGCAATATATTATTCTGGCAGACATAACTTGTTTACAGATGGAAGTGCAATAATCAATTACAGACAGTATGGCAATGATCAGTTTAGTCAAATAAGAACAGTTGCTCCTATTTTATACAATGAAAACACTAGAAAATAATATCTAAGTGTCAAATGTATCCAGTTGGGAGATGAATAAATCACATTGAGAAAGCTAATTTTGCTAGTACTAATGTTTCAATCCTGAAATTCCTTTGCTGAAGTTCTTGTTCAGAGTTGATGGAAAATCGTGCGTGCTTTTTTTTCTCCCCCACGCCTATGACTTCTTAAAATTTTTCACTAAAAACTTCTGTGCGAGTTAAAGCACTTGTGTAAGTACCTAAGTTGGTTTTGAGTAAGTGAAAAGAATTGTACAATTAAAACAAATACTTAAATCTGTGCAGCTCCCTAAGTAGACATGTTTTAATGATGTTGGGTTTATTTTCATTTGACTTAGGTTGATACCTAATAATGTAATTAAATCAAATGAGACCCAGCTTTACCTGACATCCATGTAATTTCTTGCACCACTGTCGTTCATTTAAAGTGTATGCATAAATGTGAATTAGTGCAACTTCACCGTATCACATAGACTTTAAAAAGATGGATGCATTGCAGTAAAGTCAAATTTTAATACTGTAGATACACCAAATCATGCGAAGTTTTATTTAAAATAGTAAGAAAATAATAAATACTGTTCAAAATTATTGTCTCGTATGTCAGTCACAGACTGTGAGTCTTGATCACCTTGAAATGTTTCCAAGTTTTGCATATCTTACTCCCATTGTATTCTGTAGCTGTGATGGTGTATTTAATAAGAAGTTTTAAAAACATATCCATCTGCTTGTGAAACACAAACTTTTTAATACTCAAGTGAATAAATAAGAAAGTACAAATGGCGTTAAACTTAGATACTTGACAGGATATAATCTTTCTAATAAAATATAGTTGTTGGCGTCCTGAGAACAACTTCCTTTTTGAAGGCTTATAATACCATTACACTTGTTCAAGATGTAGTGATATTTGTGTTAACATTGTGCTTGAGCATATAGTGTTAAGCTTGTACGCTTGTTCTGTTTTTCTAGCTATCCTGGTGGTTTCAAACAAGTGACTGCAACTCAGCTCCATTTGAAGGATCCAACTGCTGTAAGTGTTTCCCCTTCTTCCCTTACATTTGTAAAGCTGATTCGTTTTCATTTAATTAGTTCCCCTAAACAAAAGGGATCAGTAACCTGCATGTCTAAAGCTAAATTACAAACATTCTGCTAACTGCTCTTAGAAGCTTGGCTTGTGACAGTGTTTTTGTAAACAGCATGTTTTGAGGATTAGATTGTAGGTTGTGCATTTTCCTGATTCTTCCATGCAGTCCAAATGAGCAAATCAAGTTCATTTGCTTCACTCATTTTTGAGTGATTCAGTTGCTTTTAGTTTCAGGAGTCTGACCTTTTTCATATGCAAACTGTCTCAAGTTAGACTTAGCTAAGCTTTACTTCAGCTTAATGACCCTACTACTTTTTTAAGAGCCAGC